GCATTGTAGTTTCGTCAGTAAGTCGGTGGTGTCTCGAAGATAGCTAGGAGTGCTGGTAGCGTAGGATCTGAGGAGAAAGTCCAAATAGCCAGATAATACTGCTGTAAGAGTGCCAATGCCTGAGATGATGGGGCGTCCAGGGTTTCCAGGTTTATGGATCTTGGGTACCAGATAGAATACCCCTGGTCGGGGCTCTAGGGGTGTGTCCATGTAGACTTGTTCCTGTGCTATAGCAGGGAGTTTCTTGAGCAAATGGTGTAGTTTCTTTTGGTACCCCTCAGTGGGATCAGAGGATAGTGGCCTGTAGAATGTGGTGTTGGAGAGTTGCCTGGCAGCCTCCTGTTCATAATTCGACCTGTTCATTCTGACCACAACACCTCCTTTGTTGGCCCCTTTGATTATAATATCAGAGTTGTTTCTGAGGCTGTGGATGGCATTGCGTTCTGTACAGCTGAGGTTATGGGACAAGTTATGCTGGCTGTTCACAATTTCAGCCTGTGCACGTCTGCAGAAGCACTCTATGTAGAAGTCCAGTCTGTCATTTCGACCGTCAGGAGGAGTCCACGCTGAATTCTTCTTCTTGTAGTGTTGGTAGGATTAATTTCAGATTCCAGATTAATTCCACTGCATTATTAGTGGTTTGCTCAAATGTATTAGCTGAAGTCCCAGTCATTCCATCGGATGCCACTTTATTAACATAATACCTACCCAACAAACTGTGCCTAAGGACAAGTAGCCTTTTCAAGTTACCTTTGGGACAGATATCCTTCCCTTTCTCTATGCAATAGATGGGCACTGGATTTTGGCATAAGCGAAGGTACTTTGCAACAGGATCATGTAGGACAAAATTTCTGTGGACTCACCAGTATCATGGGAATTAACAATTAAATAAGTGCAGAAAAATTAGGTGAAACATAATGAAGTTTTGGTGAAATAATATATCCTAGAAAGCTTAACTGAACATGGCAGTAATCTTTTCTGACATTAGAATAATTGACAAATGGGAAGAAAATGAAGTGGCTCTGTAGCCAGTAACGTCATTGTTTTATTATTTGTAAATAAAAATATAAGTAATTTTAAGAAATACTCCCACTCCTTCCATGCTATTTAGTTATCCGTAATTACATGCATTAAAGTGATTTATGCTTCATGTTTTACATAGGCAGCGTTGGTCATTATTATCAAAGAGGGGCTAGTTGACTAGATGGACCAGTGACTTCTTCCTCAATAATAGTCCCTGTGTTTCTCCATGTTCATCTTAAAAATATATAGGAGGAAAATAACTAATAAAAAGCCATTATACCATAAAATGTTTCTGTTTGTGTTTACAAGTTCAGTCAGTAATGAAGAAACCACTGTCAAAGAAAAACTTGAGTTTTTGGGTTTTTTGACGTTTAATAAATGTGCCCTTTTTACCTATTACACCTGAAGAAACAAAGATTCCCTCTGTCATTTAATGGAAGAATTGATTTCTGCTTCTTTTATGTGAAAATAAAATACTCACCCAAAATGCCAAAGTCAGCGGCCACACTAAGAGAGAGACAAACATAGTTGCATGTTCATTCTTCAGGAAGGTGACAATAGGGCTTGATCCTGAAAGGTGCAGAGCACCTTCAGCTTCCCAGTGCCCTGGCAGATGTCAAGTATGTCTGTAAATGTGAAAATATAAACACAAGCATCTATTGCTCATGAGCAAAATACATAATTTTTAGAGTATTACTTATTGTAACTAAGATGTATCTATATTGTTGTACAATATATGTACAGCATGTTTATCCATTAGCTACTTTATGAGAAGCAATATTTTTATTTTGAACGTTATAAAGTTGTATTTTTCCTGGTTACATAAATGAGGGTGTTTGAGCTGGATGTCCTTTTCAACTTGCAAATTGCATGTAATTTAGCAGATTCATTTTGTTTCCTGTGAAATACAACTAACAGCTTTGGGACAGGTATCCCCTAATTCCTTCCTTTAAGACCTTGTTTTCTTTGATATAAGACCTTGCTTTCTGTGATATAAAAGCTTGGCCATACACTACCAAATACTCCCTGAAGTGTTTGAGTACAAATCTTGTTTTATGTGTGGAAAAACAGCAGGGAGTCTCAATTCAGTTCCTCAAATTGCTTTCCTGCAATGCCTTACTAAGTAAGCTAACACTAATATAATTGTAGTTTTGCTGTTTCAAAGACGTTAAATTTGGTAAGCTAGTGCTTTCAGAGCTAATGCTCTTTCTACATTGAGGACATTTTGAAGGTGAAATAAAAGTAAATGTAATTCTATAAGAAAAATATTAAATTAGCTAGAATGATTGTGTGTTTCAAGGAGTGATGGTAGTGCTTTGTACATTGGTACTGAGGACTTGGTGGATGGTAGAAAGGAAAATGATGCATTGGAATAGAATTTTAAGGAACATTATACAAAGCAAGAGATGTGATTATTAAGAAAAAACAATTCTATGCCTGTACAGGTCCTGTGATTAATTTGAAATACTGTAAGTGCCTCGCCAGTTATACAAAAATTGTTTATAATAGCTATTTCCTATTCCTGCCTGTTGCTTGAGTTACTAGAGATGTTCTAGGGAATCTGCTTTTGATCTGTGTATGCTATGATCTAGTACAGTGTTTCCCAAACTTGGGACACCGTTTGTGCAGGGAAAGGCCCTGGCGGGTCGGGCCGGTTTGTTTACTTGCCCCGTCCGCATGTCCGGCCAATCGCGGCTCCCACTGGCCGCAGTTCGCTGCTCCAGGCCAATGGGAGCTGCTGGAAGCGGCAGCCAGTATGTTCCTCGGCCCGCGCCGCTTCCAGCAGCTCCCATTGGCCTGGAGCAGCGAACCGCGGCCAGTGGGAGCCGCGATCGGCTGGACCTGCGGATGGGGCCGGTAAACAAACCGGTCCGGCCCTTCAAGGGCTTTCCCTACACAAGCGGCGTCCCAAGTTTGGGAAACACTGATCTCGTAAACTGAGCCCAGGGCTAGGAATCAAGAGAACTGTGGTCTATTCCCAAATTTGCTGCAGATATGCTGTGTATCCTTAGGCAAGTCATTTAACCTCTCTGTGTCTGTTTTCACCGCATATATAAAATGGGGATGATAAGACTTGTTTACCTTTCTAAAGTATTTTGAGCTGTGTAGAAGAACAAGAGCTACAGACCTGCAAATTCTTATTATTTATGGTGCCCCTTGTGCAGTAGCATAGTAATGTTCCATACATTTTAAATAAAGCTATTTATATAGTTTCATTTCCTTAAAAAGTTCCAAATGTTTTTTAAAAAGACATTTTCACAAGAAAAAGATAATACTTATTATTCATAGAGGAATTTAGGATTGTTTTGGGTTTTTGTACTTAATATCTTTGTGAGTAGAAGCTGACAACAATACCCAGTATTGCCTGTTTACAGATTAAGGTCCTGATCCCGGTACTCATTCAGTTCACTGCCAGGATTACCAGTAACTTCATTGTTCTCAAGATCAGTAGCATAAAGTAAAGGTAGTGAGCATTTACTAGGATATCTTTAGTTGTAAAATAATGGATACTGTTGACAGGTAAATTTTAAGTGTCCATCTCTTGTCATCTGAACAAGTCATCCTGGTTTTCCTTTCTCCATCCTTTGCTATCATAAATCTTTGTCTTAGATTCTTATTTCATCAGTATTTTATTTGTCATAATTCATTGAATATTAGCAAATATATTGTAATATATTTTTTAAATATTACCGACATTTTAGGAAGTGACCTATGGCATCTATTACAACCTCTTTTTTGAGAAATGGGGAGAGGCCAGCAGTTGTTTTGTGTGGATTATAAAGAGTATATTTAATCAGACTGCACATTGAAGAGGTTCTACTGCCTCTTAAATTGTTTTAGAAGAAATAATATAATTTATCAATGTGGTTTATATTTTAGGGGGCTTTTTCATGTGCTGTTTTCTTTACATGCTAAGGTGAGAAACTCATTGACACAAACAAGAAAATTATTTATGGCACAGTCCTTTCGAATATATGGGTATATACTACTTAGTATTTTTTTAAAATCAGCTGCTTAAATTAAAGTGTAGTTCTGGATTTTCTGAAATCCACTGAAATGCAGCCTGGGTATCTGAAAGGTGCATAGAGTTCTTAAATAGTATCATTAGTGGAGGCAGTAATAAAAAAAAATGCCAGCAATTGTTTTAAATAGATCATAAAAACACTTAGATGTCTGAGTGGGTTGTGTAGGTGGTTGAAACATCTCAGTCTGTGGGCCAATTTCTACTATTTGTGGAGTTACTCTGTGTCGTACACTGAGAGCAGAATTTGGTCCTGAAATTTAAAGTTGAAATTACTAATTACCGGTATATATTTCATGGTTTTACAACAGTCGGTATTCTGTCGTGTGAAAACTCATCCAAAATAAACCGAAAACTAAATATTGTCTTATCTGGTAAAAGAATACTACCTAGAAGTTAGATCATTATCTAAAGACTTTTATTGTAACTCCTGTAGCTATAGTGTATCTTGAAATGATATATTTCCAGTATTTTTTATTTTTTACTGCTGTGTTAGTGAAATTGTGATTATTTTTTTTCTTATACATTATCCATGAATTTTATTTCTCAATTTGCTTCCCCCCATTTAAGATCCCAGAGGCGTATTTTATTAGAGATCCTCATACTTTCCTCCTTACAAAGGACTTTATTAAGGTATATGTGTTGTATTTGGTGCAAAGAAATCTCTCAAGACCTTAACTGCATGTCCTCACAGGTTAACATTTTCACATGTAACCCCAGCTATTGGAAATAAGAACGGTTATTTGGTTAACTGAAGCATGCTTGAAAGGAGAAGCAAAGCTTGTCTACAAAATACTAACACTTGGATGAGTCTGCAGCCTGAGAGAAGAGCACCCGGTGAATTTTCTGGACTTTTTTCATGGCTGACTTAGGATTTGCTTGCATTGTCAAATAGTGTGTTGACCTATCTCTTTGATGCATATTGATTATGACAATCACTCTCCTTTCCCTGCAGGCCATGGAGGCACAGATACAGAACTTTGGACAGACGCCATCTCAGTTGCTTATTGAGCCACATCCGCCTCGGAGCTCTGCCATGCACCTGGTGAGATATAACTGCTGGTTGAGAATTTATTTCCTTTCAACCTGAGGATCCTTTATAGGTCATAAAATACCTATTTAAGTAACACTTTCTTTTCATGCCCTGAGTTGCCTACAATGCCATAGCCCTTACTCTGTGCAGAAATTGCATGCAGGCTCTTAAACAGCACAGTGGAAGTTGGAATAGCTCTAACTTCCTACAGTCACTGACTTCTGTTGCCCAATCTTGGATTTAAAAACTATCTTCATAAATATGTATTTGCTGAGTATAACTGCATGATATAAAAATGACTGCATGCTTTTCTCATATTGAACATTTTGTTTCAAAAAAAGGGGGAAACGTTCCAGGGTGATTTATGAACCTTGGCTGCTTGTCAGGAATGAAGAAATGTAGTTCAAATCATGCTGGAACCCTTCTGTCCATTCCTGTGAAAGAACACATCATGTCCTTGTAATTTCAATTTGAACTTCAGCATTAATTACCAACGCACTCTTTTATGTGCTCATTACAAAGAATTATATTATGTAGCCAAAGTGAAAAATACTGATATCTGTCCCTATTAGTGTCTTTGGTTTAAACATCTGAGGGCAAGAAACTTCCTATGAAGTTTCAGTAAACAGATCATAATATTTTCATTAGCTTTCATAGTTTCCATTACCCATAAGGAAAATCACATTGTGCAAATGGCAATTCCTCTGAAATTTCAGTTTTGCTCTTTTTTTAATTAAACAGTATCTGCAAATTTACATGATAGCTAGATATTTTAGATCTTAAAAATGTAGATAATGTATTTTAGACAGCAGTTTAAATCAGTAGATTCAGAAAATTCCTAGAATTCATCCTAGTTGATACAGCAGTTAATTTATGAAGACATCTAATACATGCAAATTGGGCTTCACGAAGCAGTGGACTTAAATTGCAGCAAGGGAGGTTTAGATTGGACATTAAGAAAAACTTCCTAACTGTCAGGGTGGTTAAGCACTGGAATAAATTGCCTGGGAAGGTTGTGGAATCTCCATCATTGGAGATTTTTAAGAACAGGTTAGACAAACACCTGTCAGGAATGGTCTAGATAATTAGTCCTGCTACCAGTGCAGGGGACTGAACTAGATGACCTCTCGAGGTCCCTTCCAGTTCTGTGATTCATATAATCTCACTGATGATAAAAATGTTACTAGCCATGAGAAAAAATTCTGTTTTACAAACAGAATTATCACCCTGATTTTATAATCATTTATATCTTTTAATATGATTTGTAAGGCATAAAAAGTAAAGTCAATTCATGTAGTATTCTCTAAAGGATTAACTTAAATCTACAATGCACTAGAAAAATAACTAGTCATCTGTGCGATTTCTGAGTTCCTCCTCTAAAAATTCTTGTTTCAGCCATTGGACTTTATACAATTTTATGTTTTTGATGTAATATTGGGTTAACTGACTCTTCTATTTGACTCCTCTCTACAGTGTATGAATATTAACTGTTCTGATCATTTTGTATTTTGATTTTTTGAATTAATGCTGATTTATCACTTTACAACCTGCAATGATAACCTAATGGACCTTAACCAAACCTTTTCTCTATTTGTCCTCATGTAATGATCCAGCAATAGTTTTCCCTCCTATATTGCTAGTGCAGATAGCATTGTTTTCCCTGTATGTACACGTTTGCCTACTCATTTTAACCTTGTTTTCCCTCAGACCGCCTCACTAATTGTGTTATCCCTTCTGTTTTCTTCTGCTCTCTTCTCCTTTCTACTCAACAGTGTTTCCTTCCACAGAGTCCACTCATGTTTAAAGATCAGATGCAGCAGGATGTTATAATGGTGCTGAAATTTCCATCAAATTCTCCTGTCACACACGTGGCAGCCAACACGCTTCCCCACCTTACCATTCCTGCAGTGGTAACTGTGACTTGCAGCAGACTTTTTGCAGTGAATAGATGGCACAACACAGTAGGTATGTGCTCATAGATAGATCTCTTATTTAAACATTCTGTAAGCAGTGCATCTTTTAAGTTTCAAGTAGAGTAGCTGGGTTAATCCCACTCGCCTACAGATAGGCAACAAATTTTTACCCACTTATCCCTCTGTATATTGAGTACTCACGGTGTCCATTTTCCATGGTATCACTCCAAGAAGCACCCTCCCTAAATCCACCACATCAGCTTGGCAGCCAATTGCTTTGTTGCTACATCGGTATCAGTCTTTAATGTAACATTTTTGGGACAGTACTATTATTCTTGACATCACATATATAATATGCCACAATTTTCAGGAATACATAGTGCTGGGCTAGCTAGTATGTGTATATCACTGTTCACTATTTGAGGGAGTGTCAGCTATATTCAGATGTCTGTCACAAGAGCCAATAGTACAAGCAAAAACTAAAGGACTATGTTCCTTGGCTCCACTTACAGAGTGTCCAGTATGGATGAAGTAGAAGAACTTAATCATTACCCCTGTGAACAACTAAGTGGTCATCAATCTATTTCAACATTCCCTTCTATTCTAAATGTTTCTGTGCTCTGACACTGTGCAATACACATGTAAATGGTGTTGCACAGCTATCTGGTTAGAGGTAGTTTAAGCAAATCCAGGTATCTGACTTATTATTACCTTTGAGTATTATATCAGGTACCTCCACATTCAGAGGTACCCAAAGTTTATCCAGAGTTTTACACATCTCTTTTTAAAAGAGAATTATATTAATTTTGCTCAGCCCTATAGCGTAAAAGTTTGAAGGGTAAGAAGTAGTCATTGATGTATATAAATTGTCAAATGGAAATGTATTTAAAAGATGTTTTCTGTTCAGAATTAGTAATCTAAGCCTGCTACAGGTGGTGGCCATGTGGCTAAAAGAGTCATTTGCTTACAATCATTTGTGACACTGGCAGTTGAGAAACCCAGTGTAAGAGACCATAAACAAGTCAGTCTCCTACAGTACTTTAATACTAATTTTAATAACATTGTTCTGTTAGTCTTCTGTAAGTTTTTCAAGTCTTCTGGGGACATTGGCTAACCACCCTTGCCCATTAGCAGGCCCCTTGGGGAACCTCCTAGTATGTGTTACTGACTCCTCCATTTCTTAAAAGGATCTTTTAGTGGGCAGTAGAACAGTGGGAGTAGTGAAATGCACCCGCTCCCACCACATTAGTGAGACAAAGGTAAATAATAGCTGGTGCGGTAGCTAAGGAAACCTCAGGTGTTCCCTAGCAACCATGCTTTAGTTAAGAAAAGCCTCATAGGCCTTGATTTTTCCTTGAGGTTCATGTAACTATTTTGTTCACTTACATCCACGTAAAACATGAACCTCTTTGCTAACATGCAGAATTCAGTTCACAAACCATATGTGAACTAAACCATGCATCCTTTGTGCGACCCTGGTACTTATCTAAAATACCACAATGCTTTTTGAATAAATAAGGCAAAATAGAAGGGTACACAAAACAGTCAAGAAATCCAAAATAAATCCTACACTGTTCTTAGCTTTTACACTGTATGTGCCATTTTCTGTTACTTCACAACTGCATAATTTAGGACAGAGTATCAGTCTTAATGCTGAATTTTCTAATTCTTGCTGGTTTGGTTTACAATCTTAAAAAGTCTCTCTTGCCTACTTAGATTTAAATTATAAAAGAACTTTTAAAGGTGTGTATTCTATTATAAAACTGTGACATCATTTAATTGTAGTGTTTTTTACTTAATTATTCCAACAATAATAATCCAACAATCTAGCATTTAGAATAGGTTCATGAACATAAAACTGCACAGAGATACTCAGGTACCATCATAAGATGTAAACACAGCTTAATTTTTCCATAATAGCTTGTGCATTGTGCATTAATACTAAGTCTCTAGCTTTCTAAGGTGAGGTGTTAAACTACTGATTTGTGAAACTGATTTTACAAGGTTAATTGAGAACCCTCTTACTTTTATGACATGCTACTCTAGAGATTTATTTCATTAGTAGAAACTGACTATATTATTACTAAATATAAGGATTGTCAGTGGAAGATTCTTAATTTAAAAGGTATGGTGATAGTAAGTTTCAAATGTCTGTTGATATTACAGAAGATTGGGTTTGTCTTCTGACCTTGGAAAGAGTCATTTGCCTTCCCCCCACCAACTATCCTGCACCCAAATTGTGCTACCTCCCTCACAAGTGTCTTGCTCCACCAATTTTGCCTCTCCATCCCACCCCTTTTGTGAGGATTATTTGCAGTGATAAATAGGGCCTAAAAGTTGTGGCTCAGTAATATAGAAAAGAAAAAATCATTAATGTTTGCAGCCTGGTATAGCAAACTCCTGTATAAGAAAGGAGGATGATTTGTCTGACGTTGATATACCATGCTCCTGGATACACACATCACAACACCAGCAGATTTTTTCTGCCATCTTTGGTTGACCAGGAGACTTTTCCTCTCTCTATCAGATTAGGACTTTACCACTGAAGTGTCCTCAGGACTAGACCATTGCAACTCACTCTATATTAAGAGACTGTATATTAAGAGACTCCACAGCAATACTACTACTGGTATATTATCTCTTACCTCACCATATCTAATTCACCAAGGCAGATACACTTCAGAATGCATCTAAAGAAACCCAAGCTAAAACACTCAGGGGCTTGGGGCACAATATTCTAAGTCTTGTATAGAATCATAGAAATGTAGGGATGGAAGGGTAATTAGGAGGTGACTCAGTCCAATCCCCCATGCTAAAACAGGATTAAGTATACCTGGACCAGGGGCAGGCAACCTATGGCACGCGTGCCGCTTTCAGCATGCGAGCTGATTTTCAGTGGCACTCACACTGCCCGCCAGTCCGAGGGGCTCTGCATTTTAATTTAATTTTAAATGAAGCTCCTTAAACATTTTAAAAACCTTATTTACTTTACATACAACAATTGTTTAGTTATATATTATAGACTTATAGAAAGAGACCTTCTAAAAATGTTAACATGTATTACTGGCACGCAAAACCTTAAATGAGAGTGAATAAATGAAGACTCGGCACACCACTTCTGAAAGGTTGCTGACCCCTGCCTAGACCATAAGAACATAAGAATGGCTATACTGGATCAGACCAAAGGTCCATCAAGCCCAGTATCCTCTCCTCTGACAGTGGCCAATGCCAGGTGCCCCAAAGGGAATGAACAGGTTATCATCAAGTGATCCATGCCCTGTCACCCAATCCCAGCTTCTGGCAAACAGAGGCTAGGGACACCATTCCTGCCCATCCTGGCTAATAGCCATTAATGGACTTATCTTCCATGAATCTATCTAGCTCCCTTTTGAACCCCGTTATAGTATGTGTGTATATTCATATTCTGCAGTAGTCTCCATTTCCTCTTATGAAGACTTGGGAAGAAAAGGAAATAAATATATATATATTTATACGTCACTTTCCAGACATTTTATATATATATAAATATAAATTACATACACTGTAAGGGCAAACAGTCTAGTGATCTGGCATGGAAAAGATCGTCATGTTATGTCCCAATTTAAATCTCTTAGTCCCCTCTCCCAATCAATTGTGGATACCAAGCTTGAGATCTTGCAACATGACTGATTCGCTGGGTCCAGAGTTGTACTTGTTAGAGGATTTGATAAATGTATTTTCAGTAAATTGGCCACAAATAGTAGAAAAATCTGAAATGTCAATTCTGATTAAAACATCACAGATTATAGATGATAAGTGCTGCTTTCTTTACACAATTTCAGTTTGCAGCACAAAGCAAATTAGATATCATTTTCTTTTTAATTATAGTTTTCTTTTAAGTAAACTGAAAAAATAATGAAGCAGTTTCAATGAGCAGAACATTTCCACCCAACATGGGTTTAGAATGTTATTCCCCAAACGGATGGAATTTATGCACTTGTACTTTTATACTGCCATTTAAGATAGATCTACTCTGTCAGAATAATATGTTAATATAAACTATCCATGTGTGATGGGAGAGGGGCTTCATCTTATTACTAGCTCCATCACTCACTATTGAACAATCAGTTCAGAGAAATGTGTAAATGTTATCTTCTTCACACACATATAGGGGTCATCATTGTAAAAGCCAAGAACTACCAACAGTTAACCACACATATTCAAGATATGTATTTCTAAGCATAGGAGGAAACTCTGGTCCAATACACTGTATGGTGACGCTTGGCAAATAATGACTTTTTAATTATAGCTCTACATTGCACCAACAGTAATGACTCTCTAGTAGCACTTGTGTGGACTAGGTTTGCTAAATGCGGCACTCCCTGGCTAGGCCCCTGAAATATCTCTTATACTAGCAGTGGCTGGAATAGAGGTAGCTATGCCAGTTTTACACCACTCATGGATTTCCCTCCAGAAAAGGAATCTCCAGTTGGCTGTTTAAGCCAGTTTCCCTCCCCTTTTGTACCACTGTGATGCTCTGTCCCAGTATTTATATATAACATAATGGTCGATTACACCATTGTAAATCAGGAGTTGATTTGCTGAAGTGAGCAACAGCAGATGTTGGCTCAAAGTTAGCATATATATATATATGTATTTAATTTTATTTATTTATTTGAGTAAATAACTTATATATTTTGTCACATGGAAAAAGGAATCTTAAAAATTGATATAACAAGAATTGTTAGGCGATTAAGCATTTTTATGGGGTATAATCATTTTACAATTCTAATACTGGAAAAACAATGTGAAAATTTCGTAAGCAAGTTCCATATTTGTTTTATTCCTCCTTTCATCTGTAGGCCTCAGGGGAGCCCCAGGATATTCTTTGGATCAAGCCCATCATCTTCCCATTGAAATGGATCCATTGATTGGTATGTCAAAAATAAAAGTATGGTTATATATTTGAAAACAGTGTTTTCAAGAATTGTTGATTAAGCTATATTTGTATGTTGTGCTTCATTTTACACAGAAAACAGGCAAATATTAATTCTTTTTCGAGTGTTTGCACATGTGCATTCTACTATTGGTGTGTGCGCACCCCATGCACAATCACCAGAAATATTTATTTCTCAGTGGTACCCATTAGGGTAGATTTTCTGTGTTTATCTGCTTTTTTGTCAATCCCCGGTGCCAAGGGATGCCTCAGTCACTGGGCTTCAAGCCCTGCGTTTCCTGTAATAAAGCTATGCCCCTGAGTGACTCGCGCTCAAGTGCGTTGGGGAAGCTCATACTGGGGACCATTGCCAAATTTGCGAGGACTTAAGCCTCACATAGAAAAAGATGGGAAAGCCAGGTTAAACTTTCTGCTCATGAAGGTGGGACTGAGATCTCCATCTGAGCCAGGCTGGTCACACTTAGCACTGAATGCCCCAGTGTCAGTAAGGAGTGCTGCTTCTACTGTGTCAGAGTCCCAGCACTGATCCAGATCCCCCGGTGCCTAGGAAGAGTCATAAAAAGCAGACTACCAAAAGAGGGTGATCCACAACACTCCTCTGCCTCATTACCGCAGAAGCTGGCAACGTTGACTCCAGCACCTACACGGGTACCATCGAGTCCAGAGCCAGAAGAAGCTCTCATATCTGCGACACTGCATTGTACCAACACTATGCTTGAGGCATTTGCGGCTGCCAGGGATTTCCTCTCGCTGTTGGTACTGGTTTGGCTGGCAGTAAAACAGCTATTGCTATTGGTGTCAGCGGGCACAGGGGAACCAGCTGGATCATTACAACTCTCAGTACTGGACAAACTTCACCTACCCATGACAGCTCGCCCAACAGTACCATCAGAGGGGAAACCTGCGATGCTGGCCTCACTATGAACCTCTCCACCTGGGCACCAATCACCGGCACCATCAGGGGCTGCACCCCCGTGGTCATTAGAAAAAGAGTCATCCTCTTCTGAGAAGGAGATTGGGTCTCTTGTCCTCAAATCTGCACTCATTACACCTCCAAACGTTCCCACCCTTCCATGGATCCAGTCACAGGAGTACCATCAAGTGGTGGGCCAGGAGGTCACTGGGGTCTTACACTGATCCTGTGGCCCTTTTGGAATTTGTGGTATTTTTCCCCAGTTTCCAGAGCATATGCCAGGTGCTCCTATTCAGTGGCTTCAAAAAAAGGCATCCTTCACCTTCCCACCAGGTGGGCACTTCTTCCCAACTCCGGTACTGAGCTGCCACCAGACTTCAGGAGCAGGCACAACAGGATTCCATAGATCAAGAAGGGGAGGAAGAGCATCAGAAACCAGTGCTGGCCTCCTCCTCCTCCTCCCTTGACACGGCAGTCTCAGGAGGTGGCATGTTGCCTCCTCCAGATGACTATAAGGCTCACCAGGAATTGTTCAAATGGGATGGCCTTAAATCTGGGCATACAGATGGAGGTAGTAAAACAGTCCTCCCACAGCCTGCTCGTTATTTTAGCCACTGCAGGTCCTTCTAAAGTCATTCCTCTCAATGAGGCCATTATGGATCTTGTTTAAGAGTCTATGTCAGATCCCTGCATCCCCTCCCCCAACTTCAAAAAGGGCTGAGCAAAAGTGCTATGTACCTGCCCAAAGTTATCAGCTCCTTTACACCCATCCCCTCACCTCCAGGTCCCTAATACTATCAGCAGCCAACGAGAGAGAGAGGCTGGGACATCAGGGTGCAACCCCAAAATCAAAGGACTCAATAAGATTAGACCTCTTTGATAGGGAAGTTTATTCTGTGGGTGGGGGTTACAACTCAGAATTGCAAATTAGCAGATGTTGTTGGGCAGACATGACTTTAATACATGGGACTCCATGCAGAAATGTAAAGACTTGCTGCCACAAGATGCTAGGCAATAGTTCTCCTCCCTAGTGGACGAGGGAAAATCGGTGGCAAAGGTCTCATTATAAGCTGCTCTGGATGCGGCTCATATGGCTGCTAGGTACATGGCTTCCATGCATAGGAGTTCCTTGTTACAGTCCTTGGGCTTCTGCACAAGGTCCAACAGACTGTCCAGGACCTGCCCTTTGAGTGATCCTCATTCTTTTCGGAACAGAGAGAGACAAAGCTCCATGGGCTAAAGGACTCAAGGATGACTCTAAAGTCCCTTGAGTTGTACACCCCAGTCCCTTCCAGGAAACACTACAGGCCTCAATAATCCCTCTATTACTCTGCCATGTCTACCTGTCAGGACCTACAGAGAAAAAGGAATAGGGGTTATAGGCGTAGACCATCTTCCCCTTCTGCAACTGCACCAATGCCCATCCCACCTAGCTATCCAGGGTGTGGAAGTGTGGTTTACATCAAGGCCACACAACACAAGATGAGATGTTCACCGCAGAGGATACACCACCAAGAATTGGTTGAAACTATCGTAACGAACAAAATTGTCAGACACATAGATGAACATAATTTGTTGGGAAATAGTCAACATGGTTTTTGTAAAGGGAAATCATGCCTCACCAATCTACTAGAATTCTCTGAGGAGGTCAACAAGCATGTGGATATAGTGTATTTAGATTTTCAGAAAGCCTTTGACAAGGTCCCTCACCAAAGGCTCTTAAGCAAAATAAGCAGTCATGGGATAAGAGGGAAGGTTCTCTCATGCATTGGTAACTGGTTAAAAGATAGGAAACAAAGGGTAGGAATAAATGGTCAGTTTTCAGAATGGAGAGAGGTAAATAGTGGTGGTCCCCAGGGATCTGTACTGGGCCCAGTCCTATTCAACATATTCATAAACGATCTGGAAAAAGGGGTAAACAGTGAGGTGGTAAAATTTGCAGATAATACAAAACTACTCAAGATAGTTAAGTCCCAGGCAAACTGCGAAGAGCTACAAAAGGATCTCACAAAACTGGGTGACTGGGCAACAAAATGGCAGATGAAATTTAATGTTGATAAATGCAAAGTAATGCACATTGGAAAACATATTCCTAACTATACATATACAATGATGGGGTCTAAATTAGCTGTTACCACTCAAGAAAGAGATAGTTGTGGATAGTTCTCTGAAATCATCCACTCAATGTGCAGCAGCAGTCAAAAGAACGAACAGAATGTTGGGAATCATCAAAAAAGGGATAGATAATAAGACAGAAAATATCATATTGCCTCTATATAAATCCATGGTACGCCCACACCTTGAATACTGCGTGCAGATGTTGTCACCCCATCCCCCCCAAAAATATATTGGAATTGGAAAAAGTTCAGAAAAGGGCAACAAAAATTATTAGGGTTATGGAACGGCTTCCGTATGAGGAGAGATTAATAAGACTGGGACTTTTCTGCTTGGAAAAGAGATGACTAAGGGGGGATATGATAGAAGTCTATAAAATCATGAGTGGTATAGAGAAAGTAAATAAGGAAGTGTTATTTACTCCTCCTCATAATACAAGAACAAGGGGCCACCAAATGAAATTAATAGGGAGCAGGTTTAAAACAAACACAAGAAAGTATTTTTTCACGCAACACACTGTCAACCTCTGGAACTCCGTGCCAGAGGGTGTTGTGAAGGCCAATACTCTAACGGGGTTCAAAAGGGAGCTAGATAGATTCATGGAAGATAGGTCCATCAATGGCTATTAGCCAGGATGGGCAGGAATGGTGTCCCTAGCCTCTGTTTGCCAGAAGCTGGGATTGGGTGACAGGGCATGGATCACTTGATGATAACCTGTCTGTTCATTCCCTTTGGGGCAACTGCCATTGGCCACTGTCAGAGGACAGGATACTGGTCTTGATAGACCTTTGGTCTGACCCAGTATGGCCGTTCTTATGTAAGAATTGACTCCATACATTTTCTTTGTTAGGATTGGGATTATAAATGGACCGCCTTCATTTTCCCATAGTTCAGTGTGTAGCTGTTTTATCGGAGAATACTTCTGCAACTTACTTAAAATATTAGCACATATTATACAATGTGTTAGTCAGTTTATCAAGAATTTTCACAGCATATAAAATCTTTTGTCTTATTCAAAGGGAAACCCGAAGACTCACAATAATTTTATATTTCTGACATCCAGTATAGACAGCTCCAAATGTTTATATTCAAAATGCTTACTGAACAACAGATTCACAGTTCATTGAAAGTTAAATGTATTCATTTTCTCCCTTAAGTGCATGACAGGAAGGTGTTGGAATGGCTTATTCATAAATGTGTTTTGCATTTCTTTACAGCCAATAACTCTGGTGTGAACAAACGGCAGATCACAGACCTTGTGGATCAGAGCATCCAGATCAATGCACATTGTTTCGTGGTCACAGCAGATAATCGCTACATTCTTATCTGTGGGTTCTGGGACAAGAGCTTTCGGGTTTATTCTACAGAAACAGGTGACTGTAAACACAATATCCTGTTTCTTATGGGCTCCTATGTCACTATATGGCTGTTAGTCACAGTACCAGTATTTAATGTACAGTGCTTACCACCCAAGAAATTATAGAAACTCTTCTTTATAAAGATCTGCTTGTAATAGCTTACGGATATTATTTTGAAGATAATGGATGTAATAGAAAAGCAAAAAGTTTACTGTTTTGCTAATGAAAGCTATACAAACCATTGTGATATCAATTAATTGTTTCCTTGTGTAAAAAGGTGAACCAAAGCTATTTATTATATTACAATATTATTTTGATTGGGTGGGTTGATTTGTTTTACATGGACTCTACATTCAGTTGTTTGGTTTTAGTAATAGTGAGTGGTTCTTTGTTTCGTTGATCTAATGTAAAAGCAAATTTACACAATATACTACTCATAGTCAGTAGAATTTTTTGTTTCTTTGTTTTTGTTTTGTGTTCTGATCAGATTTCCACTGTAAGATATTTGGAGCCCGTATTACTTAAAAACTGATTGGAGTATTAGAAAAAGATGACTAACGTTGTAGGCCTGCAGCTGATGTTAATGTGCAACAAATATAGGTTCTTTCAATATAATATTGTAATATCGTTATGGAACAGTTCATTTGATTATATATATTGACAATCATTCATGAGACTGTGTAAAATCATTTTGCACAGCAGGAAGTTAAAAGCTCATGGAACAATGACTGTTGGGCAGGGATGGTGTCCCTAGCCTCTGTTTGCCAGCAGCTGGGAATGAGCAACAGGAAATGGATCACTTGATGATTACCTGTTCTGTTCATTCCCTCCGGGGCACTTGGCATTGGCCACTGTCGGAATACAGGATACTGGGCTAGATGGATCTTTGGTCTGACCCAGTATGGCCGCTCTTATGTTTTTATGTTCTTTTAACATTTAAGATCAGGGCTTGGGGTGTGGCTGATCTGCACAGAACAAAGGTCCAGGAAGTGCAAAGGTGAATAGTTTAAAGCTCACCTTTGCACTTTCCTGATCCTTGAGCAGCCTCTGTACAGAGCCATCCATCCTGCATCAAGTTAGAGCAGCCTTTGGGCTGTTGAAATTACTGCTGGCTACAAATGTCCAAAAGGGCCAAAAACATGGTTGAATTAAATTTATTTGGTTTCACTGTTATTTAAATGTGCTTGTTGTCAGTTGTATAAAAAAGAATACGAATACACACAGAAACCAAACTTGTAATTTCTTTACTGCAGGAAAATTAACTCAGATTGTTTTTGGCCACTGGGATGTAGTTACTTGCCTTGCCAGATCAGAATCCTATATTGGTGGTGATTGCTATATTGTCTCTGGATCTCGTGATGCTACCTTGCTTCTTTGGTACTGGAGTGGCCGACACCATATTATAGGAGATAATCCAAATAGCAGTAAGTATATATTGTGATAAACACCTGCTAACTTTATATTCTGTACCTTGATTTTTAAATCTGTTCCATTAACATCAATAAAAATTATAAAATATATATGTTATTCTTGTGAATTGCAAGTACAGTATAATAGTGATGAGAAATTAGTTCAGAAAAAAGTGAATATAGATATTTAAAGGACTTGTGTGTAGTAAAAATATTTCTGATAAATCATTTCAAGGCCTAATCATAACTTGAGAGCATTTTCTTAAATTCATAATTATTCCTATCACCTCTATCATCCTGTTGCAACATACTGGAACAAAAAGAGTTGGCTTTGTACCCTCAAGAGGCAGGACATGTATCTCCATATTTTGATTTCTCCTTCCCCGTAACTGTTTCCATTCCATTTTAATTAATTAACTTTTGTTATTTTGTAAGGTCATCTCCTCCCCCACCCTTTTTTTCTTTTTACGCCGTATTGCAGATATTAACCTGCACAAACAAAGGTGTCACACATATTGGGGAATCAAATGAGTAACTCTGAGGAACAGTCTTAAAGGGGAGTACAATATTGTTATAGAAGTGGTGTGTTTGAATAAAAATAGGGAAAAATAAAATGTCAGTAAAAGTTTCCATGTGATTTGTGAGGGAAGGCTAGATTTATTATTATTATTATGTTATTCCTCTGTGGTGGAAAAGGGCAGTTTTTTGACAGTGCACCAGAACAGCTTGGGACAAGAGTAAATCAGACAGAGATAAATATTCAGTAATCATTTGCTGAGTCCCTATTGAGAAAATAGATAATAAAAGGCTAAAATGTATACTAAGAATGCAATTAGAGGAATTTTCTGTTGATCATTCAGATAATCAAGATGTTTCAATATGGGAGCAAAAATGTTTACTGTTCTGTCAGCTAAAAACTAATGGACTCCAAGATGCAATTTGTAAAATTGTAGAACAGTTCTGTGAGTGTTCTATAGAATTTCATAGACATTTTGTTGAATATGGTAAGAGCCCAAAGTGAAAATATTTACAATATTTGTGCATTTCCCAGACTTTTATTCTGCTTGTGTTACTTGCTGAGTTTTTAAAAAGTTTTACACAGTTATGTTAAATAAAAGGAATGAATTAATTATCTCAGATTTGGAACTATAGTGGAGGCTAGTATGTACATATATAATATACACACATTCTCATCCAGGGAATGTCACTGTAGAGGTCTGATAGCAGAGATAAAAATGGAAGGGACAAATCTGTGAAGATGTCTATGGCATTATCTATATAATACTATTCGAGGATTGTCACTCTGTGTGTCACTGAAATGTAGAATGTTGAGTTATTGTGCAGCGATGGAAAGAGCTACAAGTGTGGTTGAGAATTGTTTTTGTTCAAATATCATCAGGTTCAACCATCACTGGAATTCAGAGTCTATTACCATCCAGTTTTAAGTTCTCAGTCATTTTGACTTTATGAATTAAACGCATGCAGTGTACAGCTACAGTAAGGCATGTCTTTAGTCCTAGACCATTCAGATATCATAGATAACTCAACCAACCACCACCCCTACTCCATAGCTAATTTGAATACAACAGTATCATTGGATGTATGAAAGAGACTGCACAGATGGTAAAATACTTGGCCTAACTGCCAAACCTGTGAGACACTAGAGGAGGCCAAAATCTAAATCTAATATGATTCAGCTAATGGAAATCCTTTCTTGGGGGAAAAAATTGATTGCCTTCTACATCTTTTCCTATATGGGTTACAGGCAACTTCCCTAAGAGTCCATTTGACAGTTGTTTTGGTTTTTCCTGAACGTATGTCGGTAAGCGATAAATCAGTTTCTGCCCTTTGGTAAAGGGCTTATTGCATTTTAAAACTCTATACACAGTCCCTGAATCCTTCTTTTAACCATCCAGATGTCAATGTCACATTCCAGGGTGCAATCCAGACAAGTGAGGGGTTGTATCACCACCTGCTATGCAACCTTGGGTGCCTCACAATGCTTTGCTGTTTTAGCTCCCAACCTGGGCCACTCACAAACAGCCTAACAGCATTCAGGTCACACCCTGAGTGTCTGTGTATAGCTACAGCTCTGGCCCAGCAACTCTGACTTCAGCAGCCCGTCAGCAACATTCCAGTCACACTCTGGCTTCCAGCAATCTTGGTTATTACCTGCAGGGTGACCCCAACACACTCCTAGTTTCAAATTGTCCCCCCAAATGTATGTTCTGCACTGTCCAGCCCTCTCCTGGACAACCCAGATACTGGAGCTCCATTGCCCCATAAGAGGTCAATGTACAACTGTTTGCTAACTCAAATGGAGTTACCAAGCAATTCAGATTAACACTGGATTAGTTTTGATTAAAGAATGAGACAAGGTTTATTTAACTACAAAGCGAGAGGCTATAAGTGAGTACAAGTATAAGGCATTAAATTCAAAAATGGTTACAAGAGAAATAAAGATAGAATGCTTTCTACTAGCTAAACTTAACAAGCTAGACTTGGTTCAAGGTAAAATCCTTACTACACGTTCCCAGCAATATTGTTGACCAAATTCTTAGGTCAGAATCTCCCATGAAGTCAAAGAGCTGGTTCTTTTGTCTTCTTAGGTGAAAGAGTGATAGGAAAAGAGCCCTCAAGGTGGTTTTGCCCCTCGTTTTTATAGTCCAGTCACCCTTTGAAGTAGAGTCTTCTGAGGATTAACCCTCAAAGGATTACCCCTGTTTTTTTCAAACAGTAAAGAAGGTGAAATGGAGTCTGGTGGTGAAGGTGTCTCCATGCTTTTTCTTCTCCCTTGTGTATGCTGACCAGTTCTTTTTCTCACTACCCAGAACGCACAAGTTCACAGACAGACTCTTGAGCTGAAGTAGTAAATGTTGTTTATTTGCTGCTTCAGTGAGTGATCAGTCCACCAATAGGGTTAAATGCAAGTGCGCCCCCACATTCGGCTGCTTACCTAAAATACATTGTTACAAAGTTATTCATTATATACTGTATAAACACTTTTCTGCCTACCACTAAGATTAGTTTGCTAACTCAGTTGTTTACCTGATTGGACTGCTGGCCAAATTGTTTATCTGATCCCATTGCTGATCAAGTTGTTTACCTGGCTGTTCTCTTTCCTTGACAGACAAGCAGGCATCTTTTCACATGTTCCAACACCTAAAATATATATATTTTACATATCAAATCCTACAGCTAAAGTGCAGATTTGGCTTGTCTGCTGCCATTTTCCCCTCTTGCTGTCTCAAGGACCCTGTTTACTAATTCCATGTAAATTGAGGTAAACACACATTCCTTTGTCCAGATTAGACCTGTTTAATAATTTTTGCCTAGTCGGGGCTGTGTCGGTTTTGCCATGATATTATTGACCAGCAAGTTATTAGCTTTCAAATGATACCTCACAAGGCATATTTTGTACAAATAGTGTATAGAATGTGAATGCAGGGTGCTTTCATTCACAATCATATATTCAGGTCTCTAGCAAGAAAGATTTTATCCCTTATAGCCATGACTTCAAGTTGTCAAATAAGTGACTGTTTCACACTAATAATTTTCACAAGGCTGAAATGGTGTTTTATACACATTTTACGATCCTCTCAAAGATTCTTGTTATTGGAGGTACAAGAGTTAAGTTAATGAAATAATTCTGTTAGGAAATATTTCTTTGTTGCATCAACATTTCTTATACATTTATTGCTAGTAGATTAGGACTTATCTTGTAGGAAAAATGAAAGTAAGATGTTCAGTGTAGGTTAAATCCAATTAGTTAATATCTTTAGAATGGCTCCCTAGAAAGATGTAGATGATATTTTCAGAAAAGGATTAGTTTCTTAAGAGCTGTCATCTGGAGACACAGATAAGATATTTTATATCACAGACTGTAAGGAGGTGAAGAATTCAAAGAAAAATGTCAGGTTATAGTAATTATGTGGGCTAGGTGCTTGACTTTATAACGATCTCTTAAACTGAAAGACAGTTAATTATCAATTTCAGCTTCAGTGCATCCAATTACCAAAAGGAACTTTAGTTGTTTCAAAAAACATTCTTTTCTAAAGCACCATACTTTATTAAATATTTTCAATTACATATTTTAAAACATTGTATGTGTATTTATATATAAAACATAAACCATGTTTTGACTTAAAGAAAACATATCTATGGCAATTAATAGATTATTTCCAAATGTATTGTGAGAATAGATTGTCAGGATGAACTCCTTACTGGTTTGGCTACAGTTCATAAGAATCTAATGTATTAGTTGGAATCCTGAGTAAACATCACATATGTCAATAGTCAAACCTGTCAAACTCGTGCAGAACTCTTTACTAAACAATCTATATAGACATTGTGCTTAGCAGATGACCTCAGTTCATGATTGTCTGTGTGGGAACTAGTAGATCAGCTCTGGTTTAAATCAGAGGAATGGGAAATAATTGGTTTGGGTAAAGAGTCTTGAAATGTGCTGCTCCAGCTCAGTGGTTAAGAACTTGCTCACTTGGAAAGAGGGATGGGGATCTCTGTTACAATTTTACAAGGATTTCACTACACAAAATGTATTAAGTAATTTATAACTTAGAATATGTTGCTGCAATCCATAACAAAAAGGCTTTTTTTTTTTTTTTGCTTTAAATTTGCATTTGTCACAGTTATTTTCTGTGTTGTCAGGAAAATGAAATTTTACAAAGTTTTAAATGCAGTGATTTCCCATAAAAATAGAAATAATAAATATAATTGCCTCAGTATCTGCATTATTCCCTATCCCTCCCTAAAATTACTATAGTGAATACTATAAATACTAAGTAACTTTATTTAGTTATCTGAGGCAAGTAGCAAGTTTTTAAGGATCATCACATTATATATGTCTGTGGGTAGAAGAAAATTGTTTCAGGACAGTCTGAAATATTTCCAAACTGTTTTCAAATGGGTCTGAAACACTCATTATGGGCTATCCAGCTGCCACTGAACTCAGTGGGAGTCTGTCTATGGGTTTGAGTGAGAGCCAACTCTGGTCC